CGACACTTCGCTTGTGGGGTCGTGTCTAAATAATTAAGTAAGATAACTAATGAATTAGAGAATAAATAGGATATACCCAGCTAAATTCATATCGCTACTTACTACTTACAAGTCTAAAATGATAAAAGCTTAAAATTCTAAAAAACAAGGTGGTACTCTGATATCGTCTAATTATTAACACTAATTATACTTACAATCTTCCTCCCTTCTGGTTAATATTTGAGGGGAGATACAGTCGAAATCAAGGTGTAGCAAAGCTTTAGATCGTCTTGCCATAATCGCATATTTCTTAACATTGTCTATATCGTCATTAAGTTGAGGAACCAACGTGTTCCAAACTATTGCTCCTCTACGAGCTACAGAGTTCCTCATGTAGTAGGTGTTAAAACGAGGGACATCAATTTTCAGTTTCTTCCTAAGTTGATATCGCTTGATTTTATCATTGCTCCTAATAATAGCTGACATAGCGTCTGGAGTCAGGTTATTATGGATTTATGCATAAGCTTAGCTAAGCTAATTTAATACATAAAGGCTAAAGGGGACCAATTAGCCTTTTTCATAACATCAGCATTAGACATCTCCCAAGGTAGCTCAAAGATAATTCTCGCAGCTCTACAATGCAGTGCTTCTAATGCCATAAAATCTTCCTTATTTCTGAGACTTACCCATACTGATATTCCCTATACGATCGACGGCATAATAACTCTAAAATACAAGTCTAGTAACATATTCTTTGGAAGAAATTTGCTACGTTTTAACAAGTTTAACTTATCAACAAAGCCTCTTTTAACAACACTAACATGTTTAGACCAATTTAGTTGATCATCTATCAATACGCCTAATAGACGAGAGTGTGTAACCCATTTGATGGTGTGCTGGGCTAACGTTAACTCTTTCAATGGGCCAGGTACTTTAGTTCACAACGTATCATCAGGGGAAGTAAGTAACTCTAAATAATAATGATACTTAACTGACAGAAGAGATATCGAATTTAGACTTGTTTTGTGTGATTTTGTTAAAAGCATAATTAAATAAAAAAAATTCACGAATAATTTTGAGCATAATCTGGAAAAAAAGTCGGGTAATGCTAGCAGCATAATTTGCTAATTTTACCAGCACAGTCTATAAAGGCTTATGGAGGGAGTGAAGAGTTTGAATTAAAATTGGAGACCAGAAAGTAATGATACGAGATTGCTTATTTACAATAGGTAACTAATTGATTTTAGACCACATTTGACCAGGACAAAGATTGTGAATAGAGAAATCGATAACTAGGTGCTCTGTTGGTGTAAGAGCACAATTAAAAGTCCTTACAACTATCATTTACTAATGGTTCCCTTTGATAGCGAGGCTCATTCTGCGCTGTTGAGACATTTGACAAGAATGGGCAATGAATGGGTAAAACAAATCAAAATTTAAGAAGCAAAACGCGTTCCTTCCACTTTTTAATACAAAAATGAGATATGCTCACATACTTATTACAAAAAATAAGTTTTCTGAAAGGATTTGAAAAGTACAAGGCTGTCATACATTAGTAAGAAAATATGGTTATTTTCGTAATTCATGCATGGTAGTGCAAGTAACACGATTCTGATAAAATAATTTCACGCTTTCTAAGAAAGTTCGAATTCCTTAATCAAGTAATCCTCAGCAATAAAATCTAGTGGTCACCGAACTCGTTTTTACGTCTTGACACTACATGTATGTTTGCATGTATGTAACAACCGCAAAGCACTTGAAAACTAATGAAACCTAGTCAGTAACTTCGTCCATTCGACTAAAAAACGTTTCGGCTAAATCTTTTCGATTTACACACTCATGGCACAAGGCATTGTACATGATCTCAAATGTTGCGGCTGAACCTGTCTTTTGTTTCCAGTGCAGTAACATTTTGTACGCTTTTTCAGTATATTCCTCGTTTTCCTTGTGAAACGCCGTAAGCTTTTCCTCTTTGATGTCAAGACGACGTCCAAGCGGCTTCCAGCCTTGGGCTATCCTTTGTGACAGCCACTCTAGATCTTCATTGCTGGGCACTTGCAGTTCACCTTTGTCTTCAAATACAAGAAAAGTAAAACAGGATAAACAAGTTGATATTAGCAACAACTTTTGTTAAGTTCTTTTTTTTCTGAAACACCGCTCCCCTTAACATTAGAAGTGTAACCATGTAGGTGGGTTCAGAGCCACATAATTTATAAAGCATTACACGGGTAAAAAGTTTTAAAGATGGTTGAAAATCTCAGCGTTTTGGCCACGAACCCTAGCCGTCATCGGGGGAAAGTGATAAACAAAAAATTTCCCAATAGCACGCGTTGTATTAAACGCTTTCTGAAGTCTTGTCCTTAAGCGCTTAACTCAAGATAGTACTGTTTCCATTTGTTTCCCAGTTTTTTTTTAGTTAGTTATTTTTAATTTTTTTCCCATTTTAATTAGGTAACGATGTCTAATGAAAGTAACGCCAGTCTTCCTGCATAGACAAATTTTACTGTCAATAAAGAGTACGCAACAGAAATATGCAAACTTAAAAAATTACAATAAAAAGGGACTCATCCAGGAACCGCGGAGATCATTTTAAAGTGGTAGGGCTAAAACTCTGGCCAATACAAACAATCGCTGAGGAAGTGTTCGTTATTTATCTTGTACAGCTTTAACAAGCCCTTGACATAAGGCAAAGGTGTAAGAGTAGACGTGCTTTATTACTTTCAAGTAATAAAATCCATATTCTGTCCATCTCAACCGGAGCCCTAAAAGATAAATCCCAGCAATATAAGTGGTAGGGCTATAGCCCTACCAGCCCCCTCCTCCTCCGCGGTCCCTGTCAACGTAACATTTTCAATCGCGGAACTACCTGCCAATAGGCGGCGCCTCTTCTTAAGAGCCGCAATGGGGCGTCCTGACGATGATTCTACACTTGGACGCTTTCCACTTGAATGTTGCACACTTTGTGCAGAAGTACCTGCACAATAACGAAGATAAATGAGATGGATTAGTTGAAAACTACAGTGTGAAATGTACATTTTATGAAGTAAATGGTTTAAAAACGAGGATGTGGCGATCTTGTATTGTAATCGTCCGGGTGAGACCCAGCCCTCACAAGTTACAGAGGAGCAGTAAGTTTTAGCAGTTTCTATTATATTTAACAAAGAACATTGACATATTTGACGAAAGAGGGCTTTTACAAGGAAACATATTAGATCCAAGATTTCATTTGA